CTGGGGAGGTGCTGGGGCCGTGCCGGGCCGGGCTTTGCTGAGGAGAGGCAGGCAGCTAGACGTCGGGGCCGCTCACAGCACTGCTGGGTGGGCTTGCGCTCAGTTCTTTGGGAGTCTGGCTGCTCTTCTTCCCTTACTGACCGGTTAAGTGTTAAGTCGCCTAGTAAAAACAGTAATGTGTTTGCAACCCAGAGGTCTAAGCACTTGTTTCCTTTTTTAGCGATCTTTATTTCCCTGTATAAAATGAAAACAATAAAAGATGCATCACAAAGCATCGTAAGTAGTTATGTTACCGTAGCTGGGTGTCGTGGTGGCGCAGTTATCATTAAGAGTTTGGTGGTTTGGTATTTCAGTAGTTACTGGGGCCTTGGTGCATCCTCAGGCTCTGCTATGCTCAGCAGAATCAATGGTACTTCTGTTGGTTTAGTGAGCAGGGGATTTTTCCTTCAGTCTGAGCTATAATCCCTTGGGAAGTATTTCCAAACAGGATGTGAAACAAGAAATTAGTACTGGTCATATTTGAGGTCCTATGTGAGCGATGATGCTTTTCTAAGAGGGCGACTTTGCATCACTTGCCACAACGTTTGCATTTGAATGTAGTTATCTTAAGGCCTGGTGCCTGTTGCTTGGCTTTTGAGGTCGACACCTGGGTGTTTGCAGATGAAAGCATTGCCTTCAGCCTTTGGAAGTAGTTCTGCCTGTGGCCTGACAGTGATCCGGTCTGCTGAGTTTTTGAAAAGATTCCAAAACTCTGGAGGGTTTAGTTTATGTTATGCAAAGTGTAGTTTATGTAGGCAGGATGGCTGCTGGTTTAATTTTGTTGTATTTCTTATTAATAGCTGTATGCAGTCCATAGTGGTTTTGTGATAAGTGTTACATAAGGGTGAAACTGTAAGTGATCTGCAGACTTTAAGTGGCTAAAGTAACTATGGGTTTCAGCCACTGGAGGTAAGAAGAATAAATAAAGACATGATTATGTGGCTTCCTAGGGCAAGGCAGTTGGCTTTTTTCAGTGTTTAGACTGTTCATAGCACTCATACTGGATGAATACATTGTTCTTCTAATACACCAGACTCACTGTGTTACTCTTGTCTTTGGGTTCAGCTTACTGCAGTATTCAGCAGGCGCCAACATGAGACAATGAAATACTCAGCTGCATTCAGCACTGCTGGTCATAGAAGTCTGTCAGTATAACACAGTGGACATGCTTTGATTTCTTGCCAAATTGTTATGCTCTTAGGAAGTGCCAGCCTCTAGATAAGATATAATTTTCCTGGCCAGCATTAATTCTCCCATTATATGTGCAGTATTGCTGCTGATAAGCACCCAAAGGACTGTGAGAAAGATCATTCATAAGAGTTTTTGCAGAGAGCCTGATGAAAGATTTTGTGATACGTGTCCACTAAGCAGTGGCAATATGCGTTTCTTTGGAGCACAGTCTTCTAAAGCACTATAGTGCTGTGTGCTTCTATGTAGACAGGAGCTCCTCACATTTCCACAGTGATTCTCTAGTGTGTCTAACACAGAACAATTATTTGCTGAGGTCACGAGAATGTTGATAGTGATGCACAGCAGGTGGATAGGCATACCTAGTTTGCTGAGATGTCACAACAACTTGAGTTGAAACTTTTAAAAACTATCTGTTCCAAAACTTGTACTGTTGCTAATGTAGTCTCTTTGTTGAAATCACAGGCTGCATTCGGGATAAAATGAATTCCAAATCAGTGCTGAAGAGGCAGAACTCTTTTGATATACCATCAAAGATGCATGAACGCACATGAATGCGGTAGATGTAGTGTATTATCCTGAAAGGAGAATGACCCTGAATTTAAGACAATTCCTTCTTGCCTGCCCCACCCCAAAACATATATGCAAAAAGTTCATTAAATATTTGTTGTACAGTACAGATGCTTACTAAATTGTTAGTGAAAAGCATGCAAGAGGAATGCTTGTCTTGGAAGCATTCAAAGAGAGAATGACCACAGATCCTGTGGTCATCCCAGGAGCAGTGATGACCCAGCTGTAGGTGCTTAATGTAGTAGGGAATGAGTCCTTTCAAAACCATGTAGAGTCTTTATTCTCATATTGGCTCTGGTCAAGAGCTCATGCTCTAGCCCCTACAGAGAAGCTGAAGAAGGCCAGTACAGCAGGTTTTGTCAGGGAGTTGTGCAAAAGCTGTGGCAAAAGGGTTTCAGAAATCCTGTATATCATGTGCTGTGGTAGGAACTGAAGATGGTTTGTTAGACTTTGAAGAAGGTGAGACTAGCGAAGACACTAAAAGTGAGGCAGAAGTTGAAGATGGTGAAGAGTGACAGTGATGAAATGATGAAGGCGTGTGAATTGTAAAAACCAAAAGGCAATAGAGGTAAAGCCTAAAAGAAGCAGCTGACTTCAGACAGGTTGTTAATGAACATGCAACATACATATTTTTCACTATAGAAAAATAATAAAAGTCTTGTATACAATCTTTCTGGGGGGTAGAAGAAAAATAGTCTTATATTCAAGGTCATTTTGCTTTTGGATTAACACTGCATCCAGTTTACTGTTATTGGTAGGACAAATATGATATTCACTATCCAGCAGGTCTAGAAGGCCAAGGGCTGAGATCTTAAATTACAGTGTTAGAGAAAGTGCAGAGTTCCTTCAGCTGCTCATTCCCCATCCCCACCAGCCCTGCAGTCTAGCTTAAAACTGTCACCTCCTATTGCAGTGCGCTGTTGTTCAGCTGCCACAAGTAGGTCACGTAGTGCAGATGGTCTTGCCGCCAGTGGAGTCTGCAGTCCCCTTTGAGAATATTCCCTGCTCTTGCTCTTTCACACTGTTAGCTCGGAGAGAGTGGGATGAATTCTGATACTACCAACCATTTTATCCTGCGTTCACTGAGACTGAAAGCATAAAGTAAAGCTGGTACAAAGACTAGTAGTGAAAGCAATGATGGGAAGATTAGAAGAGAGGTTGGGCTGGTCTTTATGAAATGTGGCATCACTGTGTTAGTGGCTTTCCTGGGCTTGGCATGTCTGGGCCCAGACTGACAGGGGCCTTGATTCTTGTAGCGCTATGGTGTTTGAGCTCTAAGAGCAAAAACAGTGATGATGCTCTGAGTATACACAGGATATTAACTTGTCCTTGTTCTTGCAGCATCGTAGCACCCCTCAGCTTTTAATACGTTTATCTGTAGAACGTCTCCGAAAGGTACGTTTATGTTGTTTTAACATAAGCTCAGATCAGTGCAAGTTGACTAATGAATAATTTTATCTGTATTGTTTAAAATTTGTTCCTAAATAATATAGCTGAGGTTGCACGTTCAGTCTCCACCAGAACGCTATCTTCTCCTCGATTATTTCCCTAGCCACTGCCTCATCCTTGTTCTCACGTGAGCATCTTCAGTAGCTGCAGAGCAACGGTCGCTCGCCAGAGTAATCCGTGTAAACACAACATGACTCTGTCAGCTCTGTTACCTGAGCACTTTTATTTATGACTTCTAATTGCTTTTTACATTTTCTTTCTTTCTTTCTTGCATGTTTTTCTATGTTGTCACATAAATTTACAAGCAGTAGCAGAGCTTGCTGTATTAGTCTGCAGTTAATAAACTTACACTGCTGGAAGCGAGGCAAGTCATGCTAAAGCCCATTAACCACTGTGAAAAAAGTAGATGCAAAGGTTAATTTCAGGTTATTGCTGTCAGGAAGATCTGATATTTACAGTATTTAAAAATCTTTTCTATAACCATCTAAAAATAATGGATTTAGATCACCACAATTTAAAGCTAGAGAAGTGTTATTAACTTTTTATGCATATGATGATGAATAAATGTAACTTGTCCAGTGCTTTAGGCTACAAGAACAAGATTCAAGAGCACTGACTTGCAAGCCCTACCCTCCTGGTCTTTGGATGCTTAAGACTAACAACATTATTGACATTTCCATTCTTTTGTTTTTCTAAAGCACATGATAGAAAACTACTTGGACCCAGCTCAAGACCAGATGTGTGGTTACAACTTTAGTCAGTAGAGGGAGTATGGACACCTCTATTAAAGGACACACAGGGTCACTCATGACAGCTATGCGAACAGGCTCTCTATGAGACGACTTCTTTTGTCTCCAGAAAAGGTAACTCCTTTAAGCATACATTTTTCTCGAAGCCAAAATGCACATATTGGATATTAACAGTGTTGATAAGGCTAAAATTGCTAGAGAAGGGAATGATCATTTGTGCTTGTCATGCGTTTATCCTTTCAGAGGTGACCCAGTAAGCACTCTGGCCTCTTACGCCTGCAGCTTGTGACTGGCATGGAGCAATCTTTTTTTTCCATCCATGTCAGAATCTCAGGTCACCATTAGTGACTATGGCAGTTTTGTCTGCATAAATGCCTACTTTGAGGGAAGACACAGACTCCTCTCGTTTC